GAGACAGCTGGGGCACATGGGTAGGTCTTTCCCCTGCACCCAGGCGGACTGTTGAAAGAATATGAAGGGGTTTGTCCTGCTTTAGTTTGCACTGGAGTCTGGGTTCTGGGGTCAAAGGCGGCCCCCTCCTTTGACCTTTCACTTTGCATCGCAAAAGCAACACTGGTTCTTAGCTTGTGACCTTCCTTGTCAGAAATCAGCATAGGCAGGGGGACTGCCTCTCCCTGAGGTTCCTGTCAAGAAGGACTCAGGGGTGCTCTTCGGGAAATTTACCTACAAGGGACTCCCAGCAGGAGAGCGTGCCCTGCCAGGATCCCTGCTTACCCCCTGCAAGCCCTCTAGCCAGGGATATGTTTGTACAATTGTCTTCATCTTATAAGGGAATTGCCAAGGGGGCTTTGCCTCCCTCTCACAGTTTGGGAAATGTAGACAGCCTCCTTCACTGAGATGAGTCTAAGCCTCAGCCCCCCACTGCTTTGCTCGCTCAAGCGCTCGGGGAAGTTGCTGGCCATTTCCTCTTCCCCTGCCCTGCCCCCTGCTGCTGGCCCAGAACGTTAGAAGACCGCTCCTCCCTGACTCGCCCTTCTTTAAGCAGCAGCTCAGAAGTAATATCCTGTGTTTGTGTAGCATGTTCCAGCCAAGACGTCCAAAGCCCTTTGCAAACATCAGCTCATCATTACCGCACCTCTCCCTTTTCTCACCATGTCGTGGCAGGGAACCTGTTGAAAGGGCACGATGTATTACGGGGTGGGGAAGACAGCATTTGGAATAGAAGACAGGAGGCTAAAAGATGGGAGAGGCCAGAAAGCCTCAACGCCTCAGTAAAATTCACTCTGGTTCTAAAGCAAAAATTTCCCTTCTTTGACATTCCAGCCACCTGGCTGTTTTCTTTGTGACATGCCAGTATGATGCCACTGTTTTATAACACTGTTTGCGGGGGAGGGGAACGGCAGTCTCACTGTGTTTTGCTAACCTGATCTCATTGAAAACAGACTCCATGCATTTATGAGGCAATTCTAACTCAGCTGGTAGGAACTAAGTACCTAGTACTTTAATATACTCGAACCCTTTCACCTTCCTAATGAAGTCTCCATTTTACAGGTGACAAGCTGAGGCCTCAGAGATGAGCCAGGTCCCTGGGCCCACAGCTCGTTCCCCTGGACCACAGGTCTAGGTTCTGTTGAATTCGATGGGACCTGGGATCTGTGAAAGGCTTTGTAGGCCACCTAGGTTCCCATCTGCCTCTCCACCTCCATTGCTTGTTGGGGGGCCTGGGAACGGTGAAGTGGACTTCTCCAGCTTCTAGCTGCTTTGCCTTCTTCCGTGGCCTTGGTCTTTGAGTGTCTCTACAGATCAAGCTCAGACCTCCATTCTCTCCCCTCAGCCTTCCGCCCCCTCGGTTCATCCTGTCTTAGAACTTCGAAGTTCACTTGGCTCTCACCTCCATCTGTCCTGCCCGGCACAGCCAGATAAATCCTATTAAGGGTAAGTTCAGATCACCACCCAAACCTGCTCAAAGCAGGGGCCTGGCGCCCTCCCACAGCCCACCAACATAGGAAACTTCACCTTCAGCACTAGATAGTATAACCTTGACCTCCCCAAAGCTTAATTCCCACTGCTCCTTTATACATAGCCTGTGCTCACATTCCAACCGTGCTTCGTGCTAGCAGGAGAGCCGCTCCAATCCTTGCCAGCCCGTGCATTAGTATCCACTTGCACTGTTTCCTCTCCCTGGAATGCCCTTCCCAACCCCCAGCCAAATCCTCGTCTTTCTCCAGAGCCTGTTTTGAATGCCACTCCTTCAGGAAGCCTCCCCTGATGCTCCAAATCCTACATGCCTCCTATGAAACCCCAGACCCTGATTCTCTTACACAATCCACCTTATGCTGCCCTGCAGCGTCACTCTTGTTGTCTAATCCAAATGCTACGTGAAATGTAAATTCCTGAAAACAAGTCTGTGTCTCCTTTATTTTTTATTCTTCCACAGTACATAGTGCAGTACTTGGCACCTAATAGATGCTAAATAAAAGTTTGTTGATTACATGGATGAATGTTTATACTATGAGATACTCATAAATATCTGATTATTGAAACTGATTTGTCAATAATCCTCAACGCTGTTTCTCCATCAAGCCCCACTTTTGTATTCCAGATGCCTTCAAAAATGTACACGGTCACATCTGACCTTTGCCTGGAACATAGCAGGTGGAAAACTAAAGTAACTGTCCCCACACCCCAGCCCCAGCGCCATTACTCTGGGCTTCTTGCCTACAAATCCTCCCAGCTTGTACTTCTGTAAGTTCCTTCACACGGGCTGGATGAGCACCAGAAAGTTGATCGGGTTGCCAAGTTCCCAGCACCTAACATCCATGGATTAATGCGTATCATGAAATTATAGGATGCCAGAGCTGGAAGCGACCTCAGTCCAACCCCTTCATTATAGATGAAGAAACCAAACCCCCATGGGGATTTGCAAGAACTCGAGGCAGAACTATCACAAGACTCCAGTCTTCTCACCCTTGGCCCGGGTCTCTGTCCTCATTAGGTAGGACATGACCTTCCTAAGCTCTTTTGTTTCTCTCGGTGCTTCAGGTGGTGATTTTTCAAGTGCCTGCATGTCTCAGCATCGCTTTCTCTGACTCCCACAGGGAGAGTTGACAATGCAGGCCCTTTGCAGAGTCAGGCAGAGCTGCTGCCTTTCCCAGAGCAGGCTGCTTTCCTGCAAAGCTCGTTAACCCGCCCCAGGGTCTGAGGCGCCCGTTTCTCTAGAAACTTCCTAGCCGTGAGCTGGTAGGAACTTTGCATTATTAACCCAGCAGTAAATTCAAATTCTCTTCGTTTTATCTAACATCCCCATACAAAGCTAAAGGTAACCCAGGTTACTGTAGGGCTTTGAATAATTAATTAATTCAAAAAGAGTTGTTCCAGGCCTGATTAGAAATGACCAGAAGACCATGGAATACAATTTGAACCAGATAATATGCACTTGGGCTAAATCGTTTAAACTCACAGGCAGCCTCACAGTGACCCTGATTAGAAATCACTCCTGTACATCTGGTCTGCAGAGCCAGACATGGGCCAGAGGGCTCTTCCAGCTGGCCCTCCTCTCCCCCAGGCAGGGAGATGCGAGCGAAATACCACTTTTGAGCACTAGTTTACACTTTACATGTGTGAGCTCATTGAACTTGATTCTCTCAATAACCCTGTGTAGTAGTATCCTCATTTTTCAAATAATAGAAGGGACACATTAAAAGGTGTAGTCGCCCAGCTGGTGGCTCAGTGGTTGAGCGTAGATCTATGAACCAGAAGGACACAATTCGATTCCCAGTCAGGGCACATGCCCAGGTTGCGGGCTCAATCCCGGTTGCAGGAGGCAGCCAATCAGTGATTCTCTCTCATCATTGATGTTTCTATCTCTCTCCCCCAATTCCTTCCTCTCTGAAATCAATAAAAATATAAATATATTTTTAAAAAGTGTAGTAACTAGAAACAGCCAACCTTCAAGCCTGGCTCTGTCTCTGGCTCCGAAGAGTGAGCTTTTTCTGTTTCACCAGTGGTTCTTTCCCTCCTCCTTCCCTCCTTCTTTCCTTCCTTCCTCCCTTCTTCCCCCCCCTCCCTCCCTTCTATCCTTCCTTTCTTCTTTTCTTTCTCCTTCCTTCCTCCTTTCTTTCTTTTTTTAGAAACCAAATACTTTTTTCAACCGAAATGATGGACTGATGGACTGAGTGGGGAACACAAGCAAAGCTAGCCTGATGCTGGATTAGACTGTGCAGACTGTATAATGTTGTCTGGTTTGTATTTAAGAACTGCTCTGACTGTAAGTACTAAGCACATGTAGAAGTTTTATTATAATCTCTCTGTAAGAGGGAACCTGTCCGGCAGCCATGACTCACATTTAGTAGCATGCATGATATTATTGGCTAATGTAGGCACAAAAATGTTCCTTCTGCCCTTCTAGGTTCTTTGGCTGGTCTATTAATCTATTGACATAGACAGATTAATAGGAGAAAAACAAATTTAATTTCATAGGTAAAGAGTGTGGTCCAAGGACAGAATCAGCAGGCGAGTCTGAGGCAGGTGGCTGGGTTTCAGGCCACAGTCTCTATGGCCGACCCAAAGGGAAAGCTAAAGCTTCTGGAACTCCACTGTGTGAGGTTGCTGCTCCCCAGCATTTTGGGAGCCGTGGTTACAGCAGAACATGCAGGGCCAGGACAGGGGGAGGCAAGTGAGCCACTTACCTTGCCTGGGCTCAACTGGGTGCCAAAATATCCAGTACAAATAATTATTTTCAAAATAATTTGTACAAATAATTATTTTTAAAAGTTTTAATTTTAAAATAATTACAGATTCACAGGAGGCTGCAACGAGGGTATTCTCCAAGTGTTGACATCTTATATAGCTCTAGTACAATATCCAAACCAGGAAACTGACATCAAAACATTACCTGTATTCAGGTGTGTGCACAGCTGTATAGTTTATCTTAGAGCTGAATGCCATGTAAGATGAATATTTTAATGCAATCATCCTAAAGCTCAAAATCAACGCCAAAAATCCATGATGAGCAAAATATCAAAAATTTAAATAAAGACAGGATCACTAAGCTCTGTGAACCATAATCAGAGCTGGAGGCAAAGCAAAAAATTAGCATATTGTTCATCATAGATTTTTCCCCCCATTAATTTTGATTTTTTTAAAAAAATATTGCATTAAAAGATGACTTATCTTGACTGCTCAGGTCGCCTTAGACTGTGTGCCCCAGGCAAATGGCTCACTCTCCCCCTCCAGCCCCAGGCCTTGCAGTAAGGGCTCCGAGACAGCTGGTGCTGTGGCAGGACCTGCTGGAGACGGAGAGGAGGAAGGAGTCTCTCCCTGCTGCTCTTCTCTGCCACCATCTGCTCTGTGTTGGGGGCCAACCAGGGGGGCGCTGGCACTGTGATTCAGCCCTAATTACATGCAGCCAGACACAGGGCTGCCTTTTCGAGGCCAGACGGATCACCCCTGTCAGTGGCTGTCCCCTTCCTCTAGCCTTGGCCTCCTCAGCAGTGGAGCGCAGCTCTGCACTCAGCTAAGCCATCACCAGGCAAGTAGGGCAGCCCAGTAGCCTTACCTCTCCTCCACCCCCTTCCCTTCTCTGATGGTGAGTGTGCATATCCACTTCAGCATGGAGGTGGGAGTGAGAGATGAAATCCTTTGTGTGAAGGCTAAAGCATCTGATTGACATCTAGGCTGGGCGTTCTCATTTCTGAGAACCTAGAGTGACCACAGAGCTGACTTTTGTCTAAGAGTGAGCCCAGAAGTCAGGGGTCTGCCCAATGTTCCATACAAGACCAAGGACACTTGCCTTCAATGAACACATTTAAGAGGAAAAAGGGAGAAAAAGAAGTTTGTTTTGAACATATCCCATGTGTCAGCAGTTAACGAAAGGTTCTAATGTAATGGTATTAAGAGCTAAATACCAAAAACTAATTACAATGGAAGTAGCTCTTGTTCAACTTAAGGCGTTTACTGAGTGTTTGCTGTGGGCAAAGCACTGTGCTGGGATGTTTTTATCAGGTAGTTTTTACCCCTGGAACTGGCAACCTAAAGAAGGAAGGCCATGTGGGAGAAAACATTTTCCGTTATTCCCTTCTAGATTCTTTGGCCGGTCTAATAATTAAATTGACATCAGACAGATGAACAGGAGAAAAACAAACATAATTTTATAGGTACAGTTAACAAAAGATTCTAATGTAATAGTGTTACATGCTGAAAAACTGAGACAGCCCGGCCAGCGTGGCTCAGTGGTTGAGTGTCGACCAATGAACCAGGAGGTTGAGGTTCGATTCCTGGTCAGGGCACATGCCGGGGTTGTGGGCTCAATTCTCAGTGGCGGGTATGCAGGAGGCAGCTGATTAATTGTTCTCTCTCATCACTGAAGTTTCTGTCTCTCTCTCCCTTCCTCTCTGAAATCAATAATACATATTTTAAAAATAAAAATAAAAAACATAAGACATAAAAGGCAGCCAGGTAATTGAAACTTGTATACCATCTAGAGCTAAGGAAAGGATTAAGGGCCTAGGGGTCTTGAGGGGAGGAAGGCCCTTCTCAGGGAGGCAAGGGAGATGTTTAAGATTGCCCTGTTATACAGATAAGCTCCTTAGATAAAAAGATTATCTCTGGCAGTGACTCTCTTCCTGATACAGGCCCTCTTTTCAAGGTAAATTTAGGCATTTGTTGCGGGGGGGAGGTAAAGAGCTTTCCTGAATCTGCTGGACTTTGATTGCCTTTAGCTCAAAATAATGCCAAAGAGACATATTTTGGGATAGCAAAATCTGTACCACTTCAATCAACACAGACATGAATAACTGACTGCAGGTTGACCAGAAAGACCCTGTCCATCAAGGTGCACACCTCTTGCTAGGGAAAGCTTTGGCAGCAAGTGGGTGCTCTGACAAGGGGTGGAATGCAGCCAGGGAAAGAGATAGCTCAAGCTTCTTTCAGCTTATTTACTGTCTGTCCTGATATTTGCACCTGTGCTCTACTTGTGCTTATCACTTGGTGGTGTGTTACGAATAGAAGGTCAAGTTCTTATTCTTACAAACAGGCCATTGCAAGCTCATGTACAAGAAGAAATTTAAAACTTCTGGAGACTCAGAGTAATTCTGACAAGATCATTGTTGTTTGCCCCAACATTTTGGGGACAGCATTTATTTTTAAATCCAAATGACAACAGAATGTGGTGAGAGGAATCAGACAGAAAAGAATAGATATGATGAGGTTGAGATAGTAAGAAGCTAGGAAAATTCCTTGGTTAGTGGAATGGGGAAAATGAGACAGCTGATTCAAACTGGCCACATGCAGCACCCTGACTCGCCTGCCTCCTTCTCCTTTGCATGACCACTTCCTAAAGCAGGGGTCCTCAAACTTTTTAAACAGGGGGCCAGTTCACTGTCCCTCAGACCGTTGGAGGGCTGGACTATAGTTTAAAAAAAAACTATGAACAAATTCCTATGCACACTGCACATATCTTATTTTGAAGTAAAAAAGCAAAACGGGAACAAATACAATATTTGTATTTGCATGTGGCCCGCGGGCTGTAGTTTGAGGACCCCTGCCCTAAAGCATTAAGCCCTCAGGACAATGAGGTTCTGATCAGCATTAAATACTCTTAGGAACAAAGCCTTGGGCCTGTTGACCACAGAGACAGAGTTTTGATCAAATGAGAGGTAACATTGAGGCCTCAGTTGTCTTTCAGCTCTAGGCTCAGGAAAGCAGAAACACCAGATAAAGCGACACCATGGCTGGCATCAGAACCAGATGCAATGCCCTCCTACCCTAGCACTGACCAGTCAGAGGAGACCAGGCCCATGGCCCTACACACCCATTTTGATGAATCAGCATATTAAAGGACACACCTGGAAATCTGATGAATATTCTGTTGAGATCCTCCCCTGAGACCTCCCCTAAAATTCCGGCCTTTAGAAAAACAGATAAAAGCCCTTAAGACAAAGGGCCCAGTGCTTTATTTCTATTACAAACTTTATTTCTATTACAAGGATGTTAATAATTATAATAATAAAATAAAAAGAGGGAGAGGGGGCTCTGATACTTGGTTTATAGTTAAGTCACAGAGCTTAGGCTTCAGTCCCAGTCAGGCAGAGCCCAGCAAGGCCCTGGCAGGGACAGGGAGTCCCTCACTGTCTCCATCAGAAGGCAGTAAAGACAAAGGAGCCGTTTCCCCACCGAAACAGAAGGCAGTGATGCCAAATGCCAAAGAAGCAGATTAAAACAAAGCCCGAGTCCTTTCTAGTTCAACTCATCTCCAAAAGCCTGTTCCTAACATATATTGCAACTGACCTGAACACCTTCTCAGAGCTGCCCCACACATAAACCAGAGTCTCAATTCTAGAGTGGGGAGCGGCAGCACACGCGCGCGCGTGTGCGCTCTCTCTCTCTCTCTCTCTCTCTCTCTCTCTCTCATTCCTGAGCCTTCCTTCTTCAGGTGTGTATCTTTGGTTTTTTTTCTCCTAAGCTCTAAAGGCCCTTCATTTGCCTCTGTAACTTGTTTCCTGAGTCCAAGCAGCCCAGCTGGCTCACTTTCTCTCTAAAAGGCCAAGGCAGCTCTCGAGCAGCCCACTTGAATCTTCTCTTCGAGTGTACTTTCACTTTTCATGCTAAATAAACCTCCTCTTGCACTAGAGTTCTTGGCTTGGAATTCTATCTTTGCTGAACTCAAAAACCGAAAGCCACTGACTTCATATGAGTTTAGCTAGGACTCTTGACCAACATTCATCTAGTAGAGGCAAGAAAGAGGGATGGCAACCTTCTTATTCTTCAGTCATCTTGTCCTGTCCTGACCACTGCCCAGACACACTCTCTCTCTAGGACCCCTCCTCTTCTAAAGGGCATCCATCATTTGCTTATACCACATGGAACCACTACAAGAGGATGTGGACAGGACACTCCCAGAATTCTGACTGGAACAAAGAAGAATTTAAGTGCAACCAGTAGCCATGGGCATATAAAGTACAGCATAGGGAATCTAGTCAGTAATCTGGTAACAAATATGTATGGTGACAGGTGGTTACTAGACCAATAGGGATGATCACTTTGTAAGTTATATAAATGTCTAATCACGATGTTGTGCACCTGAAACTATGATAATACTATGTGTCAATTGTAATTGAAAAATATATATAATAAAAATAAATAAGTGTTAACAGTAAAAGTTCCCATCTGAGACACTCCAGAGACAGTCTCTTCTGGGAAAGGGTGACTGGAGATTTAATGAAAGCACATTGATTGTATTGAATAAAGAAAGAGTTTTCAGGAGGATGAGTCAGCCTGGAGTCCACAAAAAGGGGAGTGGGGTCCTAGTTCTGTTCAGGGATAAGGTGCCAAAATCAGCCGGGAGCAATATGGTAGCTTTAGTGGGTAGAACCTGCATAACGAAGCAAACTAGTTGAGCTTCCAGGACAGGAACCACAGGCCTCACAATGTGCAAACTCGCCTTGCCCCATATATGAGTTTCCTGTGGCTGCTGTAACAAATTATTATAAATGGGGGGCCTTAAAACAACAGACACGCACTCTCCCACAGTCTGGAGGGTAGAAGTCAGAAATCAAGATGGGAGTAGGGCTTTGCTTCCTCTGAAGGCTCTAGGAGAGAATCCTTCCCTGTCTCTTCCAGTTTCTGGTGGCTTCAGGGTTCCTTGGCTTATAGCTGCATCATGGCCATCTCTGCCTCCATCCTTACATGGTCTTCTTCTTTGAGTCTGTTTCTCCTCTATCTCTCTGTGTGATCTCGCCTCCTCTTATAAAGACGCAAATATTGGATTTAGGCATACTCTAATCCAGTATGACCTCATTTTAACTTAACTAATTACATCTGCAAAGACTCCACAGTATATCCACATTCTGAGGTTTTGGGCAGACATGAGTTGGAGGGGAGAGGGGAGGAGATACTATTTACTCTGATCCTACATTTACTGAGCAATGTTCTGATTTTATTTCTAGAGCTGACCCCATCGATCTGTTATGTGGCAGTTGTGATTCTTGGTACAACTTGAAGTATCATGCTAGCTTTATACAATAGATGTGTTTCACTAAAATCTCCAGTCATTCATTTCCAGAGCAGACTCTCTGCAGCTCCTCAATGGGAACGTGCACCCCTTATATTTATTATTCCCTTGGCAGCATTAATATGAGCTTCCTGAAGACAAGCATGCCATATTGGTTTTATTTGCTGGTGTGTATCTTCACACCTAGCACAGTGCCTGGTATACAGTAGCTGCTCAATTGTTTTGTTGAATGAATAAAAGTATAATAGGGGAGCATCTCTACCTCTCTTAATCTTTTGTACCACCTCCATTTTTCTCCATCGTTTCTTCCATCTTTAGGTTCATTTTCCCTTCAGTCCACAAACATGTTCAAGTCTTCCCACCCTAAAATAAATTCTCTCCTTGATCCTGCTACACTCTCCAGATGTCATTCCTTCTTTCTTTTTCCTGACAAAAAGAGTGCTGGTTGCTCTGTAAGCCGGGGGCAGCCCCCGTCTGCTGTGAGACATCATCTGTGTGATGGGAGAAGAGGTTGGGAAGATAGAACCCGAGAGGGAACACGCAGAGGGCAAGAACACTCATTTAACACCTTCTGGCTCCCCCCATATTTGGCTTTGACCCTGACTCCCATGTAGAATCGTCCTCAGTGTGTGTGTGTGTGTGTGTGTGTGTGTGTGTGTGTGTGTGTGTGGAGAGGTATCCTAGAAACTAACATTTCCCATCCACTCACTCCTTTAGAGTCTGGCTTCTGCCCACACCAATCTCCCATTGGTGTCATTACTGGCCTCATAAACTTTTTGTCCTCATGCTCATTGGCTACTAGCCACAAGATGGCTGCAGTTGCGCCAAGTATCACAGCTTCACACTGCATTTAAAAGCAGGAAGCAGCCAGGAGGGAAGCGGGCAGAAAAGGATTCTCTTTCAGCAGGGGGGAAAACATCTTCACAGAAGTCTCCCAATAGTGTCATTAGCCAGAACTGAGATGTGGCCACTCTCTCAGCTTCATGCTTTTCTCTGGCTTCCTTAACATGAGCATTTCTCTTATTTCTTTAGGCAAACTTAAATTTATAATTTATATGATTATAAACTTTATAATCAACTTTACTTCCGTAATAAGATTGAGACCTCTGGCCATCCAGCTCGTTCCAACATCCCATATCAAGGTGTCAGAATGGCTGTGCTTCCTCTGAAGGCTCTAGGAGAGAATCTTTCCTTGTCTCTCCTAGTGTTTGATGCCTCTTGGAGAAAATGCAGCTGGGCGTGGGGGATGGAAACTGAGCATTTACTCAAGAGATCAAATCATCCTGAAAAGACTGACATGCCACTCTTTTTTAAAAAATCTTTTTAAAAAGTTGATTTTAGACAGAGAGGAAGGGAAAGAGAAACATCAGTTTATTGTTCCACTTACTTATGCATTCATCGGTTGATTCTTGCATGTGCCCTGACAGGGGATGGAACCCACAACCTTGGTGTATGGGGATGATGTTCTAACCAAATGAGCTACCCGGCTGAGATGCAAGTTTAAAGTTCAGGTGTACTTTCCCTGTCACCAGTGGGTGAGTTCTCACTAAAATCTCCAGTCATTCATTTCCAGAGCAAAAATTCAGATTGGTTATGGAGAAATAAAGAGAATATATTTTATTTACATACCAGCACAGGATTGTAAGTAAATTTGTGATGCTGCTTTTCTTACTCTTGATTTTCTTATTTCTCTTAAAAGCATAACTACTCTCCTTCTCACCCAGATGGGGAACCTCAGAGTTATCTTTGCACCTTGCCCTCTCCTTCACACTTCTCAGCCAATCAGCTCTCAAGGCTTGTGGGTTTTACCTTCACAATGTCATCATGTTTCCAGGGTAACAATCAGCAGGACCTCAAGGCTCTAACCATGTGGTCCCACGGCTCCTTACCCCTGGGCTCCCAGGTGTAATTTTCAAAGGAAACACATTCTTTCTAGAGGCAACTCCATGAATATGCACACACATATACTCTTCTAACCAATTAATTTGAACCAATTAACTTTAGGAAGCAAAGTACATCAAACTCCCTTCATGGTCTCATCTGTTTATTATGCAGATGCTGGTGTTGTTCGTTGTATGATTTTAGAACAAAACAGTGTGACTTCTCCAGACTGGGACCAGTCACAACTAAAAATCCAGTTTCTGTGGCCTGCAGATAGATCTCTCTTTAAACTAGTGTGTCTTATCTAGGAACATTTTTAGAATCTAACCATACTGTCAGATTCTACTTCTAGATGTATTGCAAGAGGAATCTGCACACCTAAAAGACATGTGCAAGAATGTTCATAACAGCTGTAGTCATAACTCCAAACTACAGACCACTCAAATGTCTATCAGCGAGAGAATGGATAAGTAAATTGGAGTGTGTTCCTTCAATAAAATGCTACACAGCAATAGAGATCAGACTTTTGCTAAATGCATCAATATAGTTGACTTACCGACATAATCATGGGCCAAAGCAGCAGACACACACAAAAAAGAGTAAGTACTCCTTAGTCCCATTTTTATGAAGTTTGAGACAGTTCAGGACACCACTTGTGGTGATAAGATCAGAATAACAGTTATGGGAGAGGGTATCGTCTGGGAAGCAGCACTCAGGAACTTTCTACGATGTTCTATATCTCCATCCGGGTGGCTGGTTATCTGAGCGTATAGCTATGCAGAAATTCATTGAGTTATGTATTTAAGATCTGTATGCTTTCCTTAATAAAAAATCTCAGAGAACATCCACTCCCAAATTCCCAAAGACAGTCAACTTCTCTAAAAGTCCCTGGTCCCCAGATATCTGGCACAGGAAAAGCACGAATGCCAGGCGTCGCAGATCTAAGTGTATTCTATGTGATGGTGCCCCCTGGAGCACAAAATTGATCTACATTTTACATTCCAGTTTGAAATGGAATTTCTCAGCCTTTTATGCCCTGTCTACCCCAGTCACCAGGTGAATGGGGGAAATCTGGCTCAATTGTTGGATTAGGATCATGATAGAGTGAGAGTGGAACTCCCATACAAGAAGATAGACGCTCTCATGGCAAGCACACAGCTGGTTTCACAGGCAAGTGTCATCCTATGCATTATTTATCCTTCCAGCCCAAACACTGCCTTTCCTGAGCAGAGCAGAAAATCAGTTTAGCCCTGGCTTGTGTGGCTTAGTTGGTTGGAGCATTGTATTGTATGTTAGAAGGTGGCAGGTTCGATTCCCCAGGCAGGGCACACACCCAGGTTGCGGGTTCGGTCCCGGTTGGGGCATTGTATGGGAGGCAGCCCATGGATGTTTCTCTCTCACATCAATGTTTCTCTCTCTCTTTTCCTCTCTTTCTAAAAAATATCAATTAAAAAACATGTCCTTGGTGAGGATTTAAAAAAAAGAAAGAAAATCAGTGTAGGTGGACAAATGGATGGATGGAGCCTTCCTTCCTCAGTAGCAGTTAGTCATGATTCCTTTGTGGGAAGTCCTCCTGGGGGCTTCATGATGAGAACAAGCCTCTCTCATCGCCTCCCCTTCAATTCTATTGTGCCTTTGATGAAATATAATTATGTCTAAGTGGTATTCTTAGTGTTCTCCCTTGTTGAAATACATCCTGTTCTCATGATCTGTGTCCCATGGTAAAATTTTGCAGTGATAAGAGCTGACTTGTCATCTCACATGTTCTTTCCATGGGAATTGGCAACATTAACAATTAGAGTCAAGTGAGTTTAAAATACACAGAATATGTGGATATTGGGATTTCTCAGCAAAGGCTTAATGTGAAAATGAAACTGTCAAGCATTTCCACCTGAGAAAAATGAATTCCTCTTTGAGAGCCAGTCCTGCCAGCCTGGGACCAGGGCGAGTCCAGGCCCTTCCACCCAGGGAAGGGGTGTTGGGTAACTGGGATGTTTTTCAGATGGATGGAGGCTCAACCTGGGACTCTAGAAGAGAATTGTGTGGTCCAAGACTGCTGCTGTGTCTCTGCAGTTTGTTAGAACGGGAGTGTTTTTGAAGACACCTTTCTATTCCTACTTAAATGCTATTGATCATCGTAAGCCCAGGAAGGAAGATCCATGGGTGCCTTCTCTTTGCCACTTCCTAGAACACCTAGAACATTCTTTCCGCTTTACCCTACCCCCATCCTTATCCCTCCAGAGAACTGGACTCCTGCTATACATTGGATTAGAGGCAGGACTGAACCTCAGCGCATTGATTGGCACTGTGGGCAGGATAACCCCTGCTGTGGGGTTCTCCTGTGCACTGTATGGTGTTTAGTAGCATCCCCAGCCTCTACCCATTGGATGCCAGTAGCACCCCTCTTCCTGGTGGGACAACCAGAATGTCTCCAGACATTGCCAAATGTCCTGTGGGGGACATAAGCTCCCAGTCGAGAAACACTGGATTAAACTGATCAGATATGAAGGCCAACACTAAAACCCATACATCTTCCAACATCCCTCCTGCTGTTAAGGGACTAGGGCAGCGGTTCTCAACCTGTGGGTCGCGACCCCTTTGGGGGTCGAACGACCCTTTCACAGAGGTCGCCTAAGACCATCGGAAAACACATATATAATTACATATTGTTTTTGTGATTAATCACTATGCTTTAATTATGTTCAATTTGTAACAATGAAAATACATCCTGCATATCAGATATTTACATTACGATTCATAACAGCAGCAAAATGACAGTTATGAAGTAGCAACGAAAATAATTTTATGGTTGGGGGTCACCACAACATGAGGAACTGTATTAAAGGGTGCAGCATTAGGAAGGTTGAGAACCACTGGACTAGGGAGAAAAACATCCACTCCATGACCCCACTGGGTCGGGTAGGAATAGAAGCTATCTGATATTTTAAAAAAAGGAAAGTACCAACATGCAATATCTTTGTGACCAGGACATGTTCTGCCTGGAGGATTCACATAGGATTGCCGAGTTGGTGAGATCAAGGAGTACGTTTAACAAAACTTTCCGAATTTAATCTAAGAGCTTTAGTGTCTGCTTTGAGGTCACTGTGATGTAGAAAGAAGGGAACCTGGGAGCCCCTTAATTAAATGTTCTCTGGATCGGTTCTTGGATTTATAAGACTACCCAGTGTTTCTGCAAGGCCAGAGCAGCCAAAGAGCCACAGGACGTGTGGTGGCAGTGAGCAGACGCACACAGGCTAGGGGGTGGGCCTTCACCCTGGGTCAAGGGCACACTTCCTTGCCCAGGAGAGCACGCTCTCACCCCTGTGTCACATCCCTGAGTCTTATCTTGCCACAGTGACTGTGGTGACTTGATTTTGTCTGACACTGCACCAGGATGATAGAAGTGGGGGCAGTTCGAAGGGATAGGTTTTGAGATTCTGGATATGTTTTGAAGATAGAGAAAATGGGACTTGGTGGTAGATTGGATGTGTGATGGAGAACGAGAAAAATCAATGGGTGGAGGTTGAATAGATACTTGCGAATGAACGAACGTCTTTTAAAACTGTTCTGTTCTTAAGTTTTCTTCATTTTTTACTAGAATCAGAAAGAGAAAAACAATAACAACACGCTTTCTCAAAGCATCAGGCTGGAGAACAGGAAACCACTAGGATGGGTGATAGATAATCTTTAGAAATCTGTGCAGGGTAGGTTTTACCCAAATGTGTACTTAACTATAACATGGCAGTTACTTGTATGTAGCAGGTGAAGTTACACGCAAAATCCACACACATGAGCACACACCCAGGGCACTCTGAGCATGTCTCTCTTCTTTCTTTTTGGACTGATGTCAGAAGGGGGAGGGATGTGGAATGTGGCCCCACCATGAAGGGTTTTCTGGGTCAGGGGACTTTCAGTTGTAAATCTGGTCAGCCCTGGGTCAGCTGGGGTGGTTGGTCACCCTAGTTACAACAGAGACTCACAGAATTCCCAAACCCAGTGGAAATGTACAGTCCATCTAGTCTGTGATTTACATTCTGCCTACAGATTAGAACTAGCTGGAGAGCTTAAAAATATATATGATCCCCAGACCTCACAGTAGACCAATTAAAATCGGTAATACCCAGGCATTATTAGTATTTTTAACTATTTAGCTCCCCAAGGGAACATTGAGAACTGATTTAATCCAACTCTACTGACAGATAAGGAATCTGACGCCACAAAAGTTATTTGTCCAAGGTCACACCATTACTTAGGGTTCCTGACTCGCAGGCCAGTGTTCTTCCCAACACACCGCCATCCTTTCATAGAGAATAACGACCAGTTAGTTACCTGCCATCCACCCGCTGCACAGTGCTGGCTGTTACTTAGGACAACTCGCCCACACTCCCACCTGTCTGGTCCTCAATAAAACAGGCGCTTGAGCTGTAGTCCCAAGCTGTCTCGCCCACAGTTGAAATCCAGGGCTCCCCTTTCTTGCTCCCCTTCATCTTCTCCCGGTGCCACCTGCTCTGCTCCTAAGTTCCTCCAGCTCCTAAGAAATTCAGATGCAGCCCCTATTCCTTGCCCAGGGATTCCCTTTGCTCCTGTTCACTGATTTGGCCTCAACTGCTTTGACCCCAGCGCTCTCTCACTTCAGCTTCCGGTGGTCCCTTAGTGCATCTGCCGTGGACACCTGGGATCACTCACGTGGGGTCACTCACCTGGGGTCACTCACCTGGGACCACTCACCTGGGCCCAGGAGCCCATCTCGGCAGCAGCCTGCTTGGCCAGCACCCCGCCAGGCAGGGCTAAGACGATGCTCCTTTCATTATAGAGATTGACCCTGTAACGTAAGCCTCTTCTTTTTTCGATGCCAGCGTAAGTACGCCTGGCTGTCCGACCGCTTACTGTGTGGCACTAAACAAGCACCCTTGCCGAACACGTAGCGTCCAGAATAAAATAAAATGCCTCTGAAAGGTCAGGGCTGGAAACTCAAGCCTCAGGCCTGGCAAACCTGAGCAGGAATGGCTCAACAGTTACCCTGGCCAGGAAAAAAGTACTGAAAAAATGGTGGCGATGATGACAACAGTGAAGGGAGTTTGTGTCATTCACATTGGATGAAGGAAAAGAAAAAGAACAGGTGAAGAATGAAATTAGAAGCATTGAAATACATTTCTAGGCCCAACACTCCTGCCTGGCGTGCCATGTCTGCAAAACAAAAACTTAGGTGACATTTGTGTCCCTAGAAAGGCTCTGCTTGACCAGAAACATAGACTATTCAGTCAGCCGATCCCTATATGCCAAGCCAGCTCTGGGTCTTCTCACGCCAAAGGTCGCTGTGTGGCCCCAGCCAATCAGATATGTCCTACCGGTCTCTTTCTTGTCCTTGACTCTTTATCCTATAAAAGCCTCCTGCATCCACCCCATTTTCAGTCCTCAGAAAGGAGACGGTCCACTTCATGAAGTGTTAAATCAAGTTTGTTTGGGTCACCTAACTTGTCTTCTTTAATCATATTTTTCAACAGAGGAACAATGAGCAACCTTTCCCCAACCAGGAGTCTGCATGCAGGGGTGCATGACCCCCTCCCTCCCAGGATCACAGATGTCTTCCTAAGGACAGTGTGGTCTTAGGGCCTTCTGGGGCTTTGGGCCCTGTGGTCCTTGGCACCCTTGTGGCCTCTCCTCGTTGTTTGCAGTGGTTTAATGTGGTTTGCTCCACTGTCATTAGTGTTTTCTCCCAGTCCTTGTGGCTTGACTTGGAAGAGGATACCCGCCAGTGGTCTGTGGGCTATAAACTTGACCTCCCTTCAAAACCACACGGGCCCCGTTCCAGACCCACGGAACCCGAATTCCTGGGGAAACCATCCAGGAATTTGTGCTTCTCAAAAGCTCCCCTCGATGATTGGGAAGCACAGGTAGTTTGGGAAATGCTGCTCTGGTAAGTTTAGAGACGACTTCTCTCTGTCCAAGCTCTCGTTCCTGCAGTAAACGCCAGGGTTCCCCAAGGTGGGCGCTTCCCGCTCCGTGGCTTGCCTGATTCTGGAGCAGTCGGTGCAGTCGTGGGCATCACTCATTCACCTAATAAGGTCTCCAGGCTGAGTCTGGAGCTACTGTGGCCTTGCACTTCCTTCCGTGACCCCTGTGCGTGGCTGGGTGGAGCTTTTAGGTCAACCACCCCACTGGCTTCTAGAGCTTAGTTTTGAATTTAGGCAGGCTGCTTTTATTTAAAATTTAAGGAATGAGTAATATCAAACGCATACATGCCTTTTA